TCTGTGCTAATAAAAAGGATAGCAGATCTGGCAGTACAGGAAATTAAATAATAGATAGAGATTACTCTAAAAAATTTTCAAGATAAGCTAGATTCCATCGTCAGTGAAAACAAAAACTGCAGGAAGATATAATTTTTTTGAAACAGACCGCCAAAAGAAATAATATACGTATCGCCGGTGTGAAAGAATAGAATAATGAAAACTTATAATTAAAGGTTGTTGAACTTCTACAACAAAAATTAGATGTAAATGTACGCTCGGAGGATATCAGCTGTTATAGAAATAAGAAATAGGACAACAGAAAATCTCGAGCACCTAGGAGTATAATTGTTAAGTTCGACACTTTTGAAAATAAACAACTTGTTTTAAAGAATAGAAGTAAATTAAAAAATAGTAAATGTCGTATTAGGTCATGCGAGCACGCTCCAGGTTTTTACAACGCTCAGTATATGTCCCGACAGCGTCCCGTCACCGAGGACCTGCCAGGAGCGTCTAGCATGGGAAGGAGGCGAAACAGCCAATTTCACCTCACTTTCCATTCCGAAGCATTAATACACAACGGTAGGAAAATTTGCCAAAACCGGGCAAATGTAAAAAGCCGCCACGGTTACGAATTCAATCACCGTAGGCCGGGCAAATGTAAAAAGCCGCCACGGTCCAAAACCATCGGACTCGATGCCGCCCTAACCAGCAGAGAGCGACTCCGCATCTCCACGCGGACGTTGCCTGTCGATATTAGACTGACCCGTTAGGCGATAGCGCTACCGAAGTCCGATTACAAAGTTTCACCTCAGTTTCCAATTTATCCAGCATCGCGGCCGATCCAGTCCGGGTTCGCGAATCAGAGACGAATCCCGGCGCGCCCCAGGACGATGTTTGGAAACGGCGGAACCAGGGAAATCACCTACCTTTCGAATGGTACGGACGCTATCGCCTATAACTCAGAAACCAATGGAGGGATCGCGCTGAAAATAAAATACCCCATAGCAGGCCACGACGACAAGATGTGGTAAAAATCTCGTCCGAATCGTATGAGCCATTAGGCCGTTAGGAATGGAAATGTGGATTCAACGATCTTCCCGTTTTCCACCATTCCGTCCATACGATCTCGGTCAGACCCAGAACGGTGGTAGAGCATCGCTCTACAATGCTCTCCACCGAATTCGAGCAGAATCGCCCGACGGACAGAGGCCAGACGGAAATTCACCTCACTTTCGAATTTTTCCGTCGATGGGCCAGAAAGGCCGCCAAGCGAGGATTCCACCGCTCCGCAACCACGATTCCCGTCTTCGACCACTCCAGCACCGTCCAGAAGCCGAATTTCCGACAAATCGGAAAATCTATAGACTTTCCGATCCTAAGGACCTTCTGGCTCCTAATTAAGATTACGACGCCGATTCCAAAAATCGAGTTTTAAAAATTCTAGATAAATCCAAAAGGGTCAAAATCAAACAGCGCCCTCAAAAAAGGGTCACTTTTTTCTAGAATTTAGGCGAAGAAGAATGGAAGTCGTCCGGCGATTATGGGGACATCGGTGGAAATCCAGGATTTGGGGTTGAACGTCTACTGGAACCAGTGTCCAGCCAGTGTGAGTGCACGATGTGTCTTTTTAAATCTTTCTTAAAATTTTCTTCCCATTCTCATACGCTCAAAATTTAGCATTTGTTGCATTGTATACATATATGTACCTATTTGTAAATTATATATTAAAACAATAAACCATTGTGAAAAATCAGTATCGTTCTGATTCAATTACTTGTTCATTTCGATACCCCATAACGAGACCGGTTCTCGCGCTTGCCTCACAAGCCATTCCGCCCAGAGTTTGCCCACCTCCGGCGAAGAGCCGATCCGACAGCCAACGGCTCCGTCGAGACCTCGCGTCGCGATCGTGGTACATTTCAGGCTCCGTCGAAACCTGCATTCCGTCTAGACTGACCACCTACGACGAAGGCCCTGTTTCCGACTGTACCGGCTCCGTCGAGACCTGTACCTCGGAACAGCGGTTGATAGGCTCTATTGAGACCGCCAATTCACTGCGCTTACCACTAGGTAACGCAGGCCAAATTTCACGGCTCCGTTGAGACCGCATTCTAATTTATTTTAAAGCCAGTGCAAAGACTATAGAGCCAAGCTCGCAAAATATTTCCAAGGGTAAGATGAGACTCACCAGTGCGTCGACAAGTGCTACGATGAGCTATCTCGACTCCCAAACTTATAAATTAGATCGTAACTTCCTCTGAAACCCTGAACTAGACGAGTCCTCGTCGAGAAGGAACGGAGATCCCAGCTTACCATCCCTGCCTGCGACGATCGCTACGAGCAGCGGGGTAGTGAAGGTGGAAGCTGAAACCGGTGACACGGATCGCCCTCACGCCCGTCTGCCGGTGGTTTATTCCCCGGCCTTCTGGGTGAAAGAGGAACAGGACTCCGTATCCAGCCCAAATCGTATCTGTATGCTCCGTGAAGAGTCCGAGGGACCGACGTCGGTAACCGAGCGAGGGACGCGGCGCGGCGTCGCCAACGTGCCTTAGTGTAAGTTTATGTTGGAGCGGCACGCCAAGCCACGACAAAAGCTAGGCGCCTAGCCACGACTATTCAATGTATACATTCTTATGGAAGTGTTCATAGTGGAGTACTAAAACCAAGTACTAAACGCTTGGCTCCGCGCACCGAGCCAGGCGCTAGAGCAAAGAATCTAGCAAGGTATTATTTGAGCGCGGCGCGCTGATCGACGTTCTGTTTTTGACTGGAATAAAGATGTTTTTCTCTATTATTATTATTATATAGATTTAAAAATCGAACTGGAAATTTTCTTAATTCTGGGTAGAGATGATGAAACTCTCCAAATACTTTTCGTCCCCGGTTTATGGGATGTACACAGCATTTCCTTTTTTGTATGCTATTAAGCAAACACCATTTATTAGCAGTCGATTCTAACATAATTTCATCATCAGATGAAGACGACGAGTCGGTGTACATATTAATATGATTTTCAGCTTAAAACTGGGGCCAAGACGTTACAAAACTGAAATATATAGACCAGAAGAGTACCTGGCGCTTCGCTCCAACATGTTCAACTGTCGCACTCCTCGTAGCATTTCTCTAGGTCCTTAGCGTATAGCTCGGCCCGTGGCTTATGTCGTAGCTTGGCGTGCCGCTCCAACATAAACTTGCACTTACACACTTAGGTCCGCTACCTCGGAGAGTCCTAATACCGGCTCGACCATCCCTTCGGGCGCCCCCACAGCAACAGACGATACCAACGACGAGGCGGGCCTACCGCAACACCGGGTAGGTCCAGGGAGTGGCGAACTCCACCGCGACATCCGCAGCAGGGGTCGAACCGCGTGGGCGGCATCACCAGCCATCCACCCCCTGCAGACCGATGTTGCGGGACGGGTAGCTATTCCTATTATTGACTTCGATGTCGGTTTACGACATGGTACTGGGAGTGGAGGTCGAACTCCACGGGGAGCTTCTACGTCTTCCCGAACTTCACGACCCGGTGCCATGGAAGAAACCGACGGAGCGGAGTTGAGAAAGGGTGGCGAATCGCTTCGTGGCGTCCAAGAGGCAAGTCGGATGACTAGTTCGACGTCTCCTCCGAGGGCCCACGAAACCGGTGTCGTCACCGAGGAGGTCAAGGTACGACATAAAGTATTCATCTCTGAAGATCTAATAATAAATAATGTAATTCTATTAAATGAAGCAAAGAAAAAGTTTGGGAACAAGAAAGCTTGGTCTATGGATGAAAATATCTTTGTACAGGGGAATAATGGCAAAATCAAAGTTAAGAATATTGAAGATTTGAACTCCATTGTAATTATTTAATCTTTTTTACTTTTTACTACTACTATTTTTTTCCGTTAAATGGCGAGTTATACTGCACTTTTCTGTTAATATTTGAATAAGTTAATATTTCTCATCTATTATACAGGATGATTTTTAAGTTGGGTAAATCCTTCTACCGCCAAATAAAGCTAAGAAAAATAAATATTTTTACCTTTACCACTTTTTCGGCTCAATATATCAATATTAACGAAAGTACAGGTGGTTAAAGTTTTGTTTAAAAATTTTAAAAATGAATTTTTTTCACGAAACCGCTTGTGATATGTTAATGAAATTTTACAAGCGTTGATAACTCCAAAAGTCGCATATTATTCGATAAGCAGAATATTTCTAAATCTATCAGTGGCGCACGTACCAACAGATAATTCAATATTTTTTTAAGAAAAAATGGTAAACTACTGTTTTTTCGAAATATAAAAATAATTTTTGATTTCTCTGTTCAGTTCTGAAGAAGAAAGCTCTCTTGAGTTTTTTTCACACGACACAGTTTTCAAATAAAAAAAAGAAATAATTTTATTCCACATTCAAAATCAAATGTAACTTTAATTCAAAATTACTTAAGTAGGTACGTTACGAAAATTTTACTAAACTTAATCTAACTGATATGCTCAAAATGAGCTCCATTTACTTCGACGCATAGTTCAGCTCGACGTAACCACTGTTCAGTCACCGCGCGAAGTAAAGAAACTGGTTTCCCTCTAATCGTAATAGCAGCCTCCTCTATGCGTCCAATCAATTCTTCCACTGTTTCCACAGGAATTTGGTACACTAAGGATTTCATGTAGCCCCCACAAAAAAGTCACATGGAGTCAGATCTGGAGATCTCGGAGGCCACTCCACTGGACCACCTCGACCAATCCATTTATTTCGAAAAGTATTGTCCAAGAACAATCGTACCTCCCTACTGAAGTGGGGGGGTGCCCCGACTTGCAGAAGCCACATGTTTTGCCTAACGTACAATGGCAGTTCCTCCAAGAGAACTGGCAGTTCATTTTGCAAGAAGTTTAAATAATTTTCGCCCGTTAAACGATCTGGTAAAATATGTGGTCCAATGAGCATTCCATTCACAAGTCGTGCCCATACATTGACGGAAAATCGATGTTGAAAATTGGTTCTTCAATAGACCAAAGGTGCATATCTCGGAAGTATTAAGTATTTATACCGTTACGAGTGAATTGTGCTTCGTCCATAGCTAAAATGGTTTTAGTAAAATGTTCATCATCTGCATGCTTTTGTAAAAGCCATTCACAGAATTGAACTCTGCGTGGATGATCGGTAGGTTGTAGCGCCTGTACACGTTGAACGTGAAAAGGGTATAACTGATTTTCGCGTAATGTTCTCCATACCTTGGTTTGACTCACTTCGACCTGTCTTGCAATTTCCCGAGTGCTTCTTGTTGGGTCTTCCTCGATAAGATGTAAAACTTGATCTTCGATTTGAACATTTTCACGTTGTCGGGGTCTCCATGCATGACCTCCGCGGTGTTTCTTTAATTTACCAGTTTCTCTGGCTCTTTGAACTAAATTGAGAAATTGTCGGTGTGAAGGACTGACTCGCAACGGAAATCGTTCAGCGTATAAGCGAGATGTAGCAGCGGCATTTGTACTACACTCCCCGTAAATAATCAGCATATCAACTAATTCATTATTTTTTGAATAAACATAAGGCATGTTTGTATTGGTACTTTAATAATGTTACGGAAGCAATTAAATTGACAGAACATTGGTTGACAATAGGAATAAACAAAAACAAAATGTGAAAAAGTGTGATTTGATTTTGAATTAAAGTTACATTTGATTTTTAATGTGGAATAAAACTATTTCTTTTTTTATTTGAATACTATGAGTCGTGTGAAAAAAACTCAAGAGAGCTTTCTTCTTCAGAACTAAACAGAGAAATCAAAAATTATTTTTATGTTTCGAAAAAACAGTAGCGTACCATTTTTTCTTAAAAAATATTGAATTATCTGTTGGTACGTGCGCCACTGATAGATTTAGAAATATCCTGTTTATCGAATAATATGCGACTTTTGGAGTTATCAACGCCTGTAAAATTTCATTAACATATCACAAGCGGTTTCGTAGAAAAAAATTCATTTTTAAAAATTTTAAACAAAACTTTAACACCCTGTACTTTCGTTAATATTGATATTTTGAAAAAGCGGTAAAGGAAAAAAATATTTATTTTTCTTAGCTTTATTTGGCGGTAGAAGGATTTACCCAACTTAAAAATCACCCTGTATATTTATTTATTTTTTGTAGATTAATATTTATTGTTATTTTTACTTTATAATTTGTTTTTTTTAACATAATAATTAGAATTAAAATACCTTCCTATTCTGAAATAATTTGAATTGCTTAATATTATTGTAGTATAAACTTTTAAATTTGCTAGTCTCAAATTTCTTTACTTAACTTAAATTTCAGTGTATTTAACCCATTATTCAATATGCAAAATTTTAAGATTGGTCATATGAATGTTAGATCTCTTGTAGGTGGTTCTGATATCTTAAAAAATTATATAGTTAATGAGAATTTTGCTTTATTTACGGTGTCTGAAATATGGTTAAGAGAACGTAACAGTGATGACATGTTTCTGATACCTGATTATACATTTATTCATAAGGATAGAAAAGGTAGAGGCGGTGGTGTGGGATTCTTTATAAAAAAATCACTAAAACTATATATTTGGTCTTATAATTAATTAAAAAATAATATAACCAGGCTAAAAGTATATTTATTACTCAGTATCTTTTAGTACATTTCTCTACAAGCACAAGCTACCAGTCAAAGACGTAAAAAAAAACAAGAACAAGTGCTACGCTTGGTTATACTTTTCTTTGTTTTAAAAAAACTATTTGTACAAAAAATATACACATAAATAAAAAAAGAGAAAAGGGGAAAAAATAATAAATAAACAAAAAAAACGTAGAGGTAGTTTGGAAGCGTAAGTACGTAACAAAGATGCCGACAAATCACTCGGCCTGAAGGGTATAGGTTCAATAAAATATTTTAAATACAGATATCAAAATCTAGGGCGCCACTAGCAATAAAACGCAACCAGCAATAAAACGCAACCCTGCTAGGAGGTTCCCAGATTGACCGGTTTTCCAAACTACGACTCTTTTTTTGCAATTAAAGTTAAAGTGTTAAAGTAAAGTGATGTAAACACAACAAAAAAAAATAAAAATAAATACCATATGAAAATCTTCCGATATAGGAGAATTTTTATTAAAAGAAATAAATAGATAATTTAAATAAATATGTATGTGGACAGATATTGTTATATTTACGGCTACTTTAATAAAGATAGTTAAATTTAAGTAGGTACTATCTTTAGAATTTCAGGCGTGCCAATCGTGATCACGTAAGGCGTACAATCAAATATTCTAATCACATAAATACACTTAATTCAAGAAATGGCATTAAAAAATGTAAATATAAATGCACATAAATATCGCTAAACTTATTTGAAATACAGACCAACAATCTTATTACTATGACATAAAAATAAGGAAATGTATATTTAAACACATTAAAAAAAACTATTATAATATATGTTGTATTCAGTTGCATAGATGTTAAAAAAAACTTAGCGAATAAATTTTCGAATTTGCACCAATAGACTTTCCGTAGCAAACTTGATAATCAAAGTTACAATAAAAAAAAAGAATAATAATAACGAAAAAATCTGACCTTTGCAATGGCAATGACAAATTGCTGATCTTACAATATTCCGGGAGAGGCGAATGCTGCTTTCCTAGTTGGATCCACTTGTCCTTATATAAGCGACGTCAACCAAATCGGAGTATAACAATCCGACATTGAATAACTAGCCCCAAGTGCGAGACAGCCAGTATAAAGGTGGAAGAATAGGTTCGAACGAACGAATAGGTAAATTCACGAAGCCCTAAAATAGCACGAATAATAAATGTCTTTTCTTTTTTTTTGAGATTATCACACCTAAGGCTCACACAAAAGGTTTAAATGGTTGAAAGTAGGGTAAAATAAACTTACTCAAGGATATAAGGCGGCTTCAATTGTAATCCAATCTGGTATCTGGGATAAATATCTAAATGTACATAGATATATATTTCAGTGGTTCGTTAGAACTATCCTATTGGCTATAATATGAGCATCCTGTAGATTAAGGAAATAATAGTTAGAATAAGAACCACGTGGGCCAGAAAAGATTACTTACAGATCAATTGCTTTAGAATCCGACATAAGTCGTGAACTGTGATTATAGTCACACCAATACATAAATCACATTCAAAAGTGAATTTCGATAAAACTCCCAACTATATTGGAATGCACAAATCGGCACAGAACAACGAAATTCGCTTAACAACAACTGCCTGAATACTCGATAGGAAAAATCCTCGAACCTCGACCAGCAACCTTTTTGTGTGTCCAAAGAAATGTAGATAACTAACGCGGGGACAGCGTATGCGGAAGCAGAAGCATTCACGTTACATTTTTAATAAAATTTTCTTTTTATTAAACGCTCTGAGCTAATGAACTGAATTAATTAACTAGAATTGTAATTATTTATATTTACTTTAAAATGCGATTAGGAAAGAAAAAAAAATGAGTAAGATAAAAGTGCAACGTAACAAATCCCCCCCTTACTTCCTAGAGAATTTCCTAGAAATTCTCACTGTTCTAGATCATCTTGGTCAAGCGCATGTTTAAGATCTTTAACGTTCCAAATTCCTTTCAAGTTGCCTTCCAGATCTTTTAATTGGTAGGTAAATGGAGATACACGCTTATGAATAACGAAAGGACCAATGAACTTAGGTGCTAATTTAGCCGTATAATATTTTGAAGCATCAGATAATACAAAATTNGTAGGTTGAACCTCGTCCCGAGTATCTGTGGGTGACCCACTTCGTGGTAACTCTTGGTTGCTACTCGGATCCGCGAGTGCGTCGTGAGGGGTGGTCGAGATGGTGCCAGTAACTCGCGTAGCAGCGGACCTCAACGCGTACGGCGCTGTGGCTGCGCCGTGCCGCGTACTTCCGCGAGCCACCATCTTCGGTCCCTCAGACTCTTCGCGGAGCATCGATATAGCGTTGGCAGAAGAGGCCATTTCCTCTTTCACCCCGAATGTCGAGAGATCTTTCGCCGGCAAACAGGTGTGAGGGCAGTCCGTGTAACCGCTGGTCTCTCCGATTGGGGACGAGGTCTCGTCCAGCTCAGTCTTGATCATAGAATCACGATCTAATTTATTATTTGTAGTATTACCTTGGAGGGCACTAATCCTCGTAGCACTGGATATCGAAGTCGCGTCGCAGGGGTTCATCTTCCCCGTACGACAATGTCGGAGCAAGCTCTTTTGCTCCGAAAGTCTTGTAGTAGCCTGGTAGCAAGTCTTGTAGAAAGCACTGACTCTACTATTAAATGTGGGTCTCTCGAGGGAGCCCTAGAAGCAAGGACAACTTCTTCACGTCGAGGAATGGCAGCCTCGACGGAAGCCTCGTGAAGCGAGCCTGTGAACTTGAGCTCCAAAGTTCTTGAGCTTGATTAACAGACAATAAAGATTCACAATTTAACATATACAAGTTATTTACCATGAATAAGATTTGTTACAATTCGTTCTGTATCGCTTTCCGTCTCATGTACTCCCACTGAAGTACTGCAATCGTCAAAAGTAGACGTTCAGTCGCTTTTTTGATTTCTCCATACTTTTAGCGGACCGGGCTTGAATTGTCCGCCAAAATTTCCAGCAAAAATAATCCATCGTCCCCGTCAACGTCGGGACTCGTTCCCCTCTGGCCTCTCCGGATAGTCGATGTCTGCGTCGGGGATTTTGGAGTTTTTTCCCGGTTTGGAAAAAACTCTATCCACGGTCTCGGCTTGGGCTGCCGAGCATTGCATCCAACCGCCAGAGCGGTGGGACCTTCGGAAGACGGTCCTTTCGGCCCAAAGACAGGAAAATTGGAAACATCGGTGAAATTTTCCCCGTCTTCGTAAAAAGGCTTACGGGGGTCTTATTACTGGATGGATTGTCGTGAAATTTTATGAGTAGATGCACGGCATGACATAGTGCCGTGGTTGGAGGGTTCGGCCGAGATCGCGCGGATACTTTCGGCGGTAGCTATGAGGACGTGAAAACCTATTATGGCTTAACTGGCCGTTAGTAGTCGCACGATTCGGCTCGAATTTGAATATGACAACCACCTAGCGATACTCTAGTGTGGTTGGAGGGTTCGGCCGAGATCGAACACATTTTGAAGACTCACACTTTGTACGTGATCTTTAAGCAGAGCTATTAAGTTTATCATCAAGAAAAAGACTTAAAGAAAACAGATTAAATGTTAAATTTTTAGTTTAACTGATTGTATTCACTTCAAAAGGACTAAATTTATTGTTATTGTTGTATAACAAATTGATGTGATTGTTAGAAAAGCGATTGGAAATTTTAAGTAGGTATCTATCGAAATGTGATTTTAATATTTTTGTAAACTTGATAATTTTTCAAAAATAATGTTTTCAAAAATAAATAATGTCAAAAGTTCTGTGCGATTAACTTTTCCTCTTCTTCCTTTCCTTTTATTCCCCCATAGTCCATTTAACTCCGAACACCGAAAAAAACTCTTTCAAAGCTAAAAACTACTGTATAGGTAGTTTACTTGTAAAAACTTCAACTGTAAAACTGTAGTTGGTAAGTACAAAAATAAATTATGTTGCAGCCTATCAAAAAGTACTTTGGTAAGTTGTTTGAAAAAGACAAAAGAAGATACAATAACATCATATAAACTGTACACAGTTTTTATTTTGGAGCCAAGAGAATATTAAGATAAGTCTAAATTGTTTATATATTCACTTCCCCTCTTCATTTTATTAGAGTTTATGGATATTAATAGATATCTGTAATAAAATTAACACAAATTTTAGGTTAATTATGTAACCAAACGTCAAAAATGGTGACCGATCGTGATGTGTATTCAAGACAATTTCACATTTTATCCATTTATTTCCAAATTCCAGTGTAAAGGTTCAGTTTGTATAAAAAGGTAACATTTTAGACTCAAAATACCTGTTAATTAACCATAATCACAACTGATTAAATTTATTATTTTATGTTAAAAGGAGCGTGGTACAAGAAAAGTGACAATTTTAAATTTGCCTCTTATTTTTTTATGGGAAATGTAATGAGTTAGAAAGAGGTGATGGTTGAACGAAGATAAACTGAGGTATTTGGTGACGTATTTGTTTTTTATTGGCTGATTGACTTATGCGGGGACCGCGCCATTATTCCATGGCTAGAAATTGGCCTCAATGATTTGGGATCGAGGGGGATTATCCCTCTTTTTGCTGCCTCATCTCGTGTAGGCCTGGACAGCCTTCGTAGGTGGGCCCCATCCGTCGTCTACCCCGACCGCAAATGCGGCCGGTGTAGGCGCTTTGTGGGACCTCCTTTTGTCCTGGCTGGGCCCCGCCGGCTAGGGCCCTTTCTTCTGGCGCTCTTCTTGCTTCGCCGGCTCCTCTGTGTAAACCCCGGGGATAGTGTCATGTTTATGTGTGGTATGGTTGGGTAGGGTAGTGCGGCTATGCAGGCAGCCTGGGACGCGCTTTGCTAAGTTGGCCCTTAGCCCAGCGCGGGAGGGGAGGGGAATAGGAGGGTACGTGGGGTGCGTATGTGTGTGTGTGTGTCGTTGTCTTCGTTTCTTGATCCTGGCTGTATCTGAAACAGAAAAGGTTAGCGGGAAGGGGGGGGGGAGTCGTTGGGGTGGTCACCCAGGGTCAAAAAGTTGGTGTCTAGGTCTTTTGTGTTTGTCGGTCACGTCGGTTACGTAGTCAACGGCTTGCCTGAGGAGGGGATTGTCATGTCTAGCGGCTACGTCAAATCGTTTCTCCGCGTTTTGTCTTATTGTCTGTGTAGCGTTTGTGTATTGTAAGTCTCGTAATATGTCAGTGTTTCTTACGTACCAGGGCGCGTCGGTGGCCGTGCGGAGGGCTATGTTTTCCACAGCCTGTAATGACTTTAAGTGGCTTTTTGCCGCGTGACCCCACGCCGTGGAGGCGTAGGTTAGCTGCGGTTGAAGTACCACCTTGATAAGCGTTCGCTTATTCCTTAAACTGAGGGTGTTTCCACCTTTGAGTAAGGGATAGAGCCTAGCCCTGGTGGTCTTCGCTCGCGCCACCGTCTCCACGATGTGCGGTTTCCACGTGAGACGCTGGTCCATCGTCACGCCCAGGTATCGTGTTTGTCGATTCCAGGAGAT